GAAAAAAATGGCATAAAAATACTTTTGGTTTACCCTTAACTCACTACATGGCCAATGTCTGCAAATTCCACAAAGGATATCAATGTGATCCACACCCTGCCTCAAAAAAGTAACAAAGCACAATTTACTTCTACAATACTATATTCTGTACGCCTTTATAGATGTGTGTTCCTGATAAATCAAGAAAGAAACATTTTTGTCTGCTTTTTCACACAAAAAAAACAACAATTTATTTTAAAAGCTATCAAACCTCAAAATGAGAATATTTGCAAATTATGGTGGATACCAGGATGGAAGTACTGGAGTATGGGGAAGTGGAGTGAAATCCGAGTAGATAAGATTTTTTGTAGTCCTCGTATCTCCAGTTCTATATTTTATTATCATATATCACCTCTATAGAAATGTCTCATTCTTACCATATGTAATGGTGACACCTTCTGGTGCTTCAGAGAATGGCTTTTCTTACACTATAATGGGACTAACCAAGCCACAAATATTCACCGAAACAAATAAAAGTTGGAATATTATCAGCTGCTAATGGCAACAGTTCCGCTTCTGTTTTCCCACTGGCTACTTTTACCACAGCACTCTCTGTTCTATCCAAATAAAAGTAATAGGTCTATTAAAATGTTATTAGATGTGAACATTCTGTATGTCTTGTCAACTGGCACCCAGACCCAAAAGGTATAACTGTACTTTACTAATGGAAACATTTGCGAACCGCATATTTTATTAATTCTAGTTCAATCCCTGTGCATAAGGGAATTTTACCTTAGCTTAGTAAATGAGGTGAAGCTCTCCTGACTTTCATCGTCCAATTATGTGCAAGCAAAAACAGTTTTTAAAAATTTTCCTTGCATGTGATTGGGTGTTCTTTGCATTGTGAATTTGCCTATCAATTCGTCCAATCAAGCAGCCAAAGAATTTGGAACCTGGAAGAAGACATGGGAGCACTGATGAGGGAAGATGAGGGCAGCCCTATAGGGGGTCGCTTTGGCAAGTACTGTACGTCTGCCATAATGTGCTAATATGCTGTGCATACTAACACATTATGGCTAAAAAGCTCCAGGGGGGCTTTCTTTTTTTTTTTTCCATCCCTCACTTTACTTTCTATTTAAATTTGCTTGAGCCTGGGAAACTGTTCTGAACCAAACCTTCACAAGAGATGAGTGGGAATGTATAAACATTTTTGCCTTCCTAGGTTTTAGCAACATCAATATCCAAGCGATAAACTACAAGTCCATAACCTATTATGACACCCTGGTAGTCCTGCATCATATTTTGGCAAACTTGCCAGATACCTGTTAGAGATGCAATAATGACACAGGGTCCCATCCACATATGGTGGCATTTCTTCAAAACAATGTAGTAGGGGACTGGAAACATACTTTTTATATGCTCTTCTTATAATTAGGGCTGTGTTTGTACTACACATTGCAGCCTGCATTAACATGACACTAAATAAAGAACCATCTAAATGCCCTTTTTGCTTACTTAAAGCCACGGTCACATGACACCCAAGCCCAAGCCTTCTTGTATGTTTATTCCCAGTTGGGCCCTTCTTTAGGGGGCCATGTCACTGCCTGCATGAGTGGACACTTCCTATTGCCTGTCCATTGGTGGGGTCCTCTCATGATTCATGTCAGAGCAAAAAGACAGTAGGCAACCAACTTTCATGCTCTCAACTGCAGTGTCGGATTAGCAGCCCCCTCCTTAACCCCCACACACTTAGAAACAGCACCAACAAGAGACCTGAGCGATGGACTTGAGAGAGTGAGAATAGCTTCTTCAACAGAAGGAACAAAAAAAACATGCTGGATTAGATGAATATTTTTTGCCCAGAATTGGACTTTAAAAAAAGTTAAATAGAAAGAAAAAAACTATAATATATTGTAGACTTCATCTGTAAAACTTTCTATGTCCAACCACTTAAAACATAGAAAAATTGTTTTGTTGAAATAAAAGTGAGTGACTTGCTTTGCTTAGTATGAACATGCCTTCTTAAATGCATGCATACACCACATCATTTATTTCAGCTAACTGCAGGATCAGGTACTTCTTGTTTTATAGATCTGCTAAATAATGCCACACTAGCCACACTAAATGCATACCTATAAATAGTGTGTGACTTTTTATGCATACATAAGGGCCCATTCAAACCACACTGTGAACGTTATTATGCATATAATGCACATATACTGCACCGCATTAGTACTCAATGCTGTGCTTTATTTTATTTATTCATTTTTTGTCATGTTGGTCAGTTGTAGTCTCCATTGGCGAAGTGTCTGAAATGGTGACAGCATAGGAGAGCAGTTGGGAGACAGGAATAGAACATTGTCACCCTTCCTAAGTGCCTAATAGTGATAAGGCTGGGCTTGGGGCAAACCCAGTTTGCCTGAGTTTGCCCAAACCCGCTCAAAACTCTGACACCACCCCATCCTCCTGACCCATTCAGTTGCGGGGAAGAGCATTCCCTGCCCTGCAGCTATATGTCACAAAGGGGAGGGGAACAACCCTGACGCAACTGCCGCCACAGATTGGGTCGGGTAGAAGGGGTGGTGGTCTGAGTTTTAGTGGACTTGGGCGAACTAGGTTCACACCAAACCCAGCCCCATCCATAGTGCCTAAACCAGAATATTCATGGCAGAATCACCAGATATTATCGAATGAATGCTCAAAACCACCATTTTATTCTATAGGGTCTTGGCATTCAGAAAATATATAATGTTGGGGGGTTTTATGTCATTTTCAGGCCTAAAATGTGGAATATAACATGGGTGCAAAAAATGAAAAAAGGGCCTCAGTCATGAAGGGGTTAAAAAAGACTTTTGAAATTACTTTAACATGTTAAAGCTCATATGAGGTTTGATAACATAGAATCACAGCTTATATTTTACAATATGGACGTGGGAACGAGTACATTATATGTGTTAATGATGGAACTTATTTTATATGAAGAGCACTATTATTTTTGTTTAGTGTTTCCCTACATATACTTAACATATACCACTGTTTGCCCCTATAAATTGTGAATTTTTGTTAACTCTTCTAAATGCCAGCATAAATGTTCCCTAAATGTTATCTAACCGTCTTTCAAGGCATAATAATAAATAATTACATACATCACACATAATTTCATATTCTCATACCTTTTTTGGGAAAAAAAATATTCATAAGAGATATTTTAATCACTAAGTTAGCTGTGTCAATCAGTTCAGATGTGGGTTCGATCTGCCTACACAATTTAGTTTTTTTGCTTTTCAGAGCAGAATTCTGTTATAGTGCAATATTATTTGATCAAGAGAGATTTTAAAGGACACAACAAAAAGTAATGTTGGAGGTCATGAGATTGAAAGAGATGACCAAAGAATTTTTGAAGACTTCCTAATCAGTCAGCAGGCAGATTTACAAAAGGATGATGTCCAATGCTTTTGCTAATTTTCTTGGAAGTGAGTGTCCTACAGAGACATGCAGAGAGATGTTAATATTCTGTAGAAAACTGAGGGAAAATTGTCTAGTTTTGATTTCTATATTCAGTATTATGTTTAAAATACAAAAAGAATGGCAACTTTGCTCTGAATTCAGGAGCAGTGCAGCATCATTGCCCCACCATCACAGGAAGCTGTATTAGGTGCACTTCAGTGGCAGGCTCAACAGATATTTATTGAAATTCGCAGTGAGACATCAGAGGCACTTATAATTTAGTGCTGCACCCCATATCTTTTTCAATGAAGGGCTGTAGTTTGACTTTTCAATCATTGATTCTCCTACCTTGTTGGCAAAGGCCCAGCAGCCTGCAATCCAGTTTCCTATACTATATGGTCCAGGATTTCACCAAATGAAAGTGGCTCTAAACTCAGGAATTAAATCTTAATTTTGCATTCAAGCACCTCAACTATTAACAAAAATGTATCTTATTTGTGCATAACACACCTGTAGATCCTCAAATCATCTCTGAATTGGTGCTGACATTGTCCTTCCTTCTGGAGGGTGGCTACTTTTGTTCCCCATGGTTCCTGTGTGTTATAAAGTAGCCACCGCTCCAAACTCGCTCCTGTGAGGGACAACAATCTTATTACAACTTAGCTAACTAAATGTGAGATTGTAGCTCATCACGGGAGCGAGCTTGGAGTGCTAGCCACATAGAGTGCTGGAATAATGCTAATGGATAAAAATGAGCACAGGCAGATTGTACAGGAAATTAACTACTCACTGGATTTCTGTTAGGAAATGTATTTTTTGGACTTATCAAACAGATATAACAAAACACTTTTAACTGTACTGTATGTTTAACTGACCAAAATGGGAGTATATAGAAGAAGTTCATTGTTAGAGTTTACATATACTTTAATATAGGAATGTACAACAAAGAGGAGTTCAAAATTGGGGCAAATATCGCACAATACAATACCCCACCTGAGTGAAGGGAAATCTCTTTTAGTTATCTAATGTGGGAAATATTATCTCACTGAAAGATCAGAGAATGTCCAAAATAACTCTAATAGCTAAACATGTGGTATGTATCTATTCATGCTTTCCAACCAGGAGCTTTAGAAAGGAAGTATATTGTAATGTCCATGATGAGACCACAAAACGCTCACAACTTGGTACCGAACAGTTCTTTGTGGCATCAACATTACGCTGCAGAGTGGGTTGTAATTAATTCCAGTGTAGGATGAAGGATGGCACCACTTGTAGGGGGATGTCAACAGCTGGCAGCTCATTAATTCAAACAGGTTGTATTTGGGGAGGCCAATTTCTTTGTGCCTACAGATGAAACATGTATTTGCTGTTTACCTTTTTTTTTGTCTTTGTAACAAAATATTTTATGTATACCCAGGCTTTTTTCCTTCAAGCACGTCCTGTGATGGAGTAAATACTTCTCTTCCTTTTGAAGTCTATGTAAATCCATTATTCATATCTCCATATTGCTTACAATGTAGAGAACAAATGTAACAAGTATAAATACTTTGTATATCAGGATATCTCTGTCCTCATTATACCATTCTACCTACAGAAATCACCTGAGGTTTGAGACTGAAGTGATCTGTGATGTAAAAAGCATTCTGGGATACCTCATGACACAAGGTAATGTATTTCGAGGCTCGTCGAGTTCTTGGTAAGACAAATCTTTCTGTAAATTCATCTTTGCTAAAAGTTTTCTTTCCTTGCAGATGCAGCAGGCTGTTGATAAATGTCAGAGCGAAAGTGTAACAGTTGTGGTTTTGTTCATCATATCTATAAGAAAACACAGCAACTTATAAAACCATTCATAATTCAGGACACATATAGCACAATCTTTTATCAGACACCAAGTGATTTTTCACATAAGTTTGAAGTTCCTACAAACACTGCATGTTCTTCCTTATGTATCAAGTAGAATCCTTTTTCCCAACAAGAACCTGCACTTAGTTTATATGTGCCTGTAAGTCTGGCCAGTGTTAGAAATCACTGGAAAAATTAGATACTGCAAAGGCTGAAAAAGTGAAATATTGCATGAGAAAAGAGAAGATACTGTATGTGTTTGTCAGACATACCGGTACAAAAGCCATTTTTCAGCAGACGAGATCTCTTCTAGATAGGAATCCCATTGGTGGATCAGAGCATACTGATCTGGCGGGACCAGTGGTACACTCACACATTGTTCCCAGCCTGCACTGTCTTTGTGGATTCCTGTATCATTGTAATGGTGAACAATTCCTGGGGAAACAACCATGAGACTCATAATAAAGCTGCTTTATATGAACTGCAACCCTCCCTTTATGTAGCAGGTCACTCTAAATAAGCTGCAGACATATGTAATGCCTAATAGAGCACATTGTAACAAGCTGTCAAGGCATATGACCCTTTCTTTAGGATTTTACAGTATATATAATATTTATCATTCAAATATGTGAAGCGGTGCTATCACCCAACAAGTAAACAAATAACATGTGCAAAAACCAAATATATAGTGAACAATACTATTGTGAGAGAAAAGAAAAAAATATATAATGATAATGAAGTCAATTAGACGTAACGCGTAGAAGCTGAGTCAGTGACGTCAGTATGTTTGGAGAGAAAGAGGAGGACAGATCTGACATCCAGGAATGTGATTCTGATACGCGATTTTATTCGTTTTTATGTGAGTGTATTTTTTTAATAAAATAATTTTATGCATAAAGGGTGCGATCTTGGGGCCGAAGCTAGCCGAAGGATCGGCCGAAGCTACGGCCAGATCCTTCGGCAGCTTCGTGAATAGACCCCTAAGACAACACTTTTTTTGAGAGAGAGCTGCCTGCGTTTAATGAATTCATGAACACTTTGTTTCAATTATGTGTTTTACACACTCAGGCCCCGTTCCCACTGCGGGATATGCAAATTGAGCGTTTGTCGCGCGATTTGCATATTGCGCGACATCGCGAGATTTGCCGCGCGATGTCGCGTTCAAGCTTGCATTGAGCAAGCTTGAATCGCGGCTAAATCCGCTCCTAAAAGGGTCCTGCTGTAGCGACACACGACCCGCGACAGCAGGACCCTTTGCCCCATTGGATTGCATTGGAGCGCGATATCGCGCGGTAATTTGCCGCGATATCGCGGGAATTACCGCGCGATAAATCGCTTAATGTGAACGGGGTCTCACACAAGACATTTGCTACTTTATTAGTCATTTGGAGTTTATTTTAGATTATCACCTTGTGATTTACATAAACAGTTGACTAGTAGATTTAATTTGCAAAATATTTGAAAAATATTATATATATATATATATATA